CTATATATGGTGAATGTTTTATAAACAATTTATTTTTTGAAATAAGAAATAATTAGGAGAGGAAAAAAATATTCCTTTTGATGTAAAATTTGGTGTTGAATTAGAGTTGATTGTAACAAAACTAGCGCTAATACCAAATTCTATAGTTCATTTTAATTAATTAACATGTATCTTATTTCAATCACATAATAATAAAAGTAAAATTAATTTAATATAAATATCCGATACGAATTAAAAAAAAAATTCTTCAAAAATTTGATGTTTGAATTGAAGATGTCGTATCAAGCTCAGTACCAAGCCCAAGTGATAGTATGCTGGTCTCAATTTGCAAGTCCAATTTTGAAAGCCCAAAAGAGAAGCTTTCTTTTCGAGAAGAAATTGACAAATTCTCATTATCTCAGATAACTAATTCCATTGAGTCATTATTTGGAGTAAAATCACCTTTACATGTCACATGTAAAAAATTCACTATAATGTGCTTCGAGTTTGAAATTTTTATAAATGAATTTCATCTTGGGGTATGTAATTCTCCCATCGATCGAAACAATTTAAATTTAACGCAGATTATAATTCTAATTCAATTTTTTAAAATAGAACTTCTGCAACGAAATTCTATAACAAAATTTGTTCGAGTTCTAGGACCAATCAGTCTTAGAATTATAACTTGCAAATAGGAGCCGTTATTTTGTTTAAAGCCAAAAGGGGTTTCATTTTTTTTTAAAGTAGGGTAAATAATTTTTAACCTTGTATATTATGGATTCTTTGAAATAGTCCATTAAGGTTTCAAAATAGTTACCTTAAATATGGATCCTTCTCTTTTTCCTGATTTAGTGGGGATTTAGGAATATAAATCCCTATATATTTTCATTATACCTAGCAAGGCGTTGATATTGTTAAAATTACACTGAAAAAAAAAGAATTCCTTCCAAATAAATAGGGAGGTTTTTTTTCAGAGAACATAATATACCAAAAAAACAACTGCTTGCTTTTGAATTGATTCATAACAAGCAAAACCAATCAATGGATGAGGCAAACAAGAACATGTATGGAGAAATAGAAGAAATTATCGACGATATTGAACAGAGGTTTAACCAGATCAACAAATTTAGCATACTTTACTATCCTCCAAATGATCATCACTTCTTGAAATATGACAGAAATTCCAAGAACATGGGATTGGATAGCGCCTTTCGCCAACAAATCGAAAAAGAATGGCTTTTATTGGAGAAGAAGCTTCCCAGTTCCATTGTTGTCAAGTCTTATGAGAAAAGGATTGATCTTATGAGAACAGTCATTGTTGGTCCACCAAATACGCCTTACGCCCATGGCCTCTTCTTTTTCGACATACTTTTCCCAAGAAACTATCCTAATTGTCCTCCAAGAATCCATTACCATTCTTATCAACTTGACTTGAACGAATTTTTGGACCCTAAGGGTAAGGTTACACTTAGTCTATTGGAAGGTGGTAACATTGTGGCTAACTGGTATTGTGGTGTTCAAGGCAAGTGGAATCCACACAAGTCTAACATATTGCAAGTGCTCACAGCTATTCAGACTTCAATCTTGAGTACCACAGGCGTAAATCCTTGCGGTAGAGAAGGTTACAAGAATGCATTTACCTCCACATGTAAGGGCATGATATGTATGCTGAAGGAACCCCTCATGAACTTCCGAGATTTTGTAGCGGGATACTTCAGGACAAGGGCTCACCATATTCTGCTCAACTACAAGAAGCAAATGGATGACAGTGACTCGATGGTTGATCTTTTCCATGAACTCTACAGGGCTTTTGAACAGAATGGAACATATTGCAAGCACCATATTTTGGTAGACCTTCCGGCAGAGGAGAAGATCAAACAGCCAAGGGTTAGTTAAGAATGTTGAACTTATCTTGAGCAACGTACTCTCTAAGCTTAAAAAAAAACTGGCCTGAAAAAAAAATAGGAGTAGTAGTAGTCAATATGGTACGCGGATGAGCAGAATAATTTTGCATAATCATTTCTTTGATTTTTTCAATGCTAGTAAATTTACCTTATTGAATTATCAATTTTCCCCATCTATTTATTGTTGAATTCCCAAATTTGGAGCAAGAAGCATACTGCACATATTTCTGATGGTTATGATCAACAATTCACTTAATACTTCAAACAGCAGATGGAAATTCATGTTGGAATGAAAAAGTAATTTTTTCCTTTGATAAGTATCTGTTCACTTTTATTTTTCCCTTCAACCCAACCCGTGTTTATGAATGTCATAGAACAGGTAAAAACAAACCTTGCAAATTTCCCAAGTTTGCTTAAATAGACAAAAGAAACATGACAAATTACCGAGTGTCACAACTATTGTGTTGCGTCAAAACATAAAAGTGAAATATGTTCGACTTGAAGAAGAAACCAGCTAACATCATGATAACATATCCCACTTATTATTTCACCACATATGTACTCACACTCCAATAGGGATACATACTCGTTAATGATAATTTAATATATAGCCTAATGTTGAACTTTTTAGAGTTAGACGCCTAACATTCATCCTTTTAGTTTTGTTCTTGGATTCAATTGCTTCCAACATGTAATGTCACATTCCTGTAGGGAAATGCATACTCGTTGATGGTTCGATTTAATATAGCCTAATATTGAACTTTTTAGAGTTATTCGCCTAATATTGATCCTTTTAGTCTTGCTCTTGGATTCAATTGCTTCCAAAGTGTAATGAGCTGTAAAGACATCCTGAAATTAGTTCACGAGACTGAGTACACCTTATAGTTAACATTCGGAGGTACTAGGTAGTCTTATGCTTTATAGCATCTGTGTTTTTTACAGTTCAGGCAGTGAAGCAATGTATGAATATACAAAAAAGAAGAGAGAAAGATACTGGAGCATACAATGTGAGATTTACCTCATTCAGCCTTTTCTGGATCTTACAAAGTTCACCAAACTGCTAACACCAAAATTAACCATCTTCCTCCAAAACCAAATTCGTGAATTTGAAGTTGATTTCCACAGCTGGCAAGGGATTGAATTCTCATTAGGAAGTTATGATTGTTTCACTTGAGCTAGCTTGTACCATCAACATCAATCTTACCTCATTTGTAAAACATCCAGTTAGTGAAGCCCCATGTAATTAAAAGGAATGGAAATCATCATATGGAGAAGAGCATGAATCTTTACCTATTTGGAAATAGAACATTACCCAATAAACTAAAGATAGATATATGATGAATGCATAGACTTGTTGCAACTTAACATGTCACTCTCAAATTACTGACTTATAAAGCGAAGAAGTGGAAACATCTTCCCTCATCATTTTAGTATTAAATTAAGCAAAAGTCTCAATTGGTTTAGCATCAACCTACAGCAAATCTCCTTGTTCATTCCAAAGTTAATTTACTCATCTATTGGGATTCAGAGAAAATAAAGATGACAAATAGTATCATGTTCACATTATAATTAAAACGAAAGGAAACAATGAAGAATTTGGAGCAAGGAACATTAATTTAGGAAGAAAAACAAACTAGAGTTTTGAGATAAAGATACTTTGACATTGTTTACCAAAAATGCAAGTCAAGAGCCTCATATATCTGCTGCTGATTTACTGAATTCACCATCTATTCTTATCCATAGGGTAGTTGATGCTGTTGGCATTCTACCTCCTGCTTCTCCATTCACTGATGAAGTTGTTATCATAACTGTTCCACGATTTTCGAACCTGTTCAAGCATTAGTCAACTCTTTGTGCCAAATGAGAGATGTTTAACCTGTTCAAGCATTATTCTCCCTCTTATTTTGGTTGAGAAGTAATGAACCTGATACATTAATGGTATAGTTGTTACCATCTGCAATTTATTGAACAAGTGCTACTCTCAAACTGTTTACTGGAATTACCTTGGGGGCTATGTTGCTCGAGCTCTTTAAAAATGGCAACTGGTACATGTCGAGTTCTCCAGAAGTAGTATATCTTTGAAGAATACGACACGTGTTACTTCTTTTTTCGGAGAGTCCAAGCAACATAACTGGGAACCATGAACATAAGCAAGTGAAATATAACAATCAAAATTACTGCAACAACACAACAGCAACAACATATCCAGTGAAATCTCAAAATTGGGGTATGGGGAATGTAGAATGACACAAACCTTACCACTAACTTGGGGAGATAGAGAGATTGTTTCCGAAAGACACTTGGTTTATACAACAAATCCAAGTACAAGAAAGAAGAAAACTGTGGTAAAAACATAGCAACTAACAAGGGGCACTGCAAATCCCCAAAAAGGGACCAAAAACAACAAAATATCGTGATAATGGAATCACAATAAACAACGGTGATGATAGATATCACAATCAAGAACTATAATAACACCTCTAGCACAATGACAAAACGCGAACAAGCCTAGACTCTCGGACACCAACACACCACTCCAATATCTACTCTACCGAGCAATCTCCACACTTACCCATCTAAGGTCATCACGCGTTCTCCACACTTTCCTAACTAAGGTCATGTCCTCGGTAAGATGAAACCGAGTCATGTCCGGTCTAATCAAACTCTCTCCAACACTTCTTCAGTCTACTATCTCTCTTCATAACTATTATAACCAACAGGAGTTTGTGCATCACATCTTCACATGCCCAAACCATCTAAACCAGTATTACTCAGGTAACCAAAATGAATCCATTAAATCAATTCAGATCCATAAGAAAAAAACAAAAAGAAAGAAAGGTTCAATAAGTCCATCCTCTACCCCAATACATTAACTACAAACTCATGCTACAAAATAGATAAACAAACAGATGAATCATGGATTTCTAATGTAAAACAGAGTCCATTCTTCAAATTCAAGAGAGCAGATGCAGATTATGAAGTATTAGTATTACTATAAAAGAGGGCTTATCCATTTCCAAAGAGCTTCGTAGCTAATGCAAATGATAGATGAGAATCAATCAAATCAGTATAGAGCACGGAAACACAAAGAGGTCAGGTCAGTGTCACACCAATTGGAGAAATCAAAGCGCAGAGATTGGAAAAGCCATATTACGAGCTTGTGCGTGAATCTAGCAAACAATAACAGTTTTTCAGATGAAAAGAGTTGTTAGATTCACGCACAAACGTGAAATATGCCTCTTCCTGATTTTCAATTTCTTGTCTGCACGAACTTGAGAGAAAAAAGCAGGGCCGATGGAAGCCGGTGTTCGGCCGGGTTTGTACGGCGGATACCTAATGAAGGTGAGTTTCTTCATTCTATTTATAGGTAAAATCTCACCAGATATAACTGTGTTACCTGATTAAGTAAAAATCATTTCTCTTTTCACCGAATTTTAGTCATTCAAATATATTTAAATACATGCTTTATATCTTAAAATATATAATTAAAAAAAAATTATTGATTTATTCTGAATATACATGAATTCACTAAGGTATATCATATTATAATATTTAACATATGAATTTCACCAACTTTGATGTTCAAATGTTAACTTTCCTTTATCCCCAAATAGTTGCTTGTGAATATTTTTCCCTCTTTTCAAATCTTCACCCACTTGTTATTATTATAAAGTATTGTTCGATATAAAAATTAATAATAAAAATTATAAAAAAATATTAAATTTACTGTTACTAAGTGTTTGATATATTATTTCTCTCTTTATTTTATATTTGACTTAAAATTATATAAAACGTTTATTTATAATTATATCTTGAATTATTAAAATTTAAAATTACGATCAAAATCAAAATTCTCAAGATAGAGAGTACTTAATTATTCATTTTGCGAAGAAACCAAAATTTAGTAATGGTAAAAAGTTAAAAAAGACAAAATTGTAACTAGCAAGTGTTGTGACAGAATAGACAATGGAATAAAAAAAAAATTGTTGTTAAGCGTTTTTTCTTAGAGGAATTTTACGCGACCGGAGTCCATATTAGTTGCCCCTACTAGAATTCATTGACGTTATCTTGTTGCAAGAGCGGTACAAGCATATTAGTGGTCTAAAGCAAAAAATAAATGAGACTTAACATTTGAATTGTTAATAACTTTTATATAATTGATTTTTTCTAGTTTTTAGTTGATAATATATCCATTCTTATTTTAAATTATTTGTCACGAGATATAGTACTCCAAATATGTAAAACTTTTCTAATAATTCCTTCATTTTTTATGAAAAATTTACTTTTTCTAAAAATAATATTCAATTTGTTAAAAATAATAACTTATAACCTATTATTTTTAAAAATGAGGCCCCTTAAATTTAGACACACGTCTTTTTTTTAACAATGTCGAGTCACCCCTGTTCCATTGCATATCTAAACAAAATATAAAAATAAATACACTGCGTTGCTTGTACGAAAAGGAGCATGTCATTTTTTTAAAAAATGGGGCACAATTATATATATATTCGTATCCTACATTAACATTATATTCTAACTTTATAGCAATTTAATTATCAATCATCACGTTCCAATCACAATCCATCAAAAAAAATTCAGATATATTTGGTGATAAAAGTTAAAAACAGGATAACACGAGTTGGAATGGGAATCATTTATTTCCTTTTATTTCTTTATTTGTTATGGATATCATTTGTTTCCTAAATAAAATTTAAATCAAGAGCAACTACATTTTTCCTAATTACACTTCATAAATCGTAGCTATATTTATTTTGCTAGAAATTTGTATACATTATATTCATTTGTGCATAATGATTGTATCACTTGTACTTGATAGATTTAATTTTTTGGTACTCATATTGTATAATTTATTCACTCGTTCTAATTTTGCTTGTATTCATTCGTCACATTGTATTAATTGATACTAGCTTATATTACTTGTATTCATTCGCTCGTTATTGCTCAAATGTTACTAACATGTATAGGTCGTATGCATTCACTTAATCTTATTGTATCAATAGAATTTTTCAGCCAAGTAGAAAGTCACCCAAAGAACAAGAATGGTAAAGACATATACAAATTAACATTCAAATCTTGCTTAGATTTTTGTTAATTTATATATTTACTGAATGTAGCAAGATATTTCAATTTATCAAACATAGGTGGAGTTTTTCCCAAAACATATACAAATTAACATTCAAATTTTGCCTAGATTTTTGTTCAAAATTTCATGTAAAGAATAAATTACGTATATATAATTGTATGAATTTTGTGTAAATTAATGTTGGATGAATGAAAAAAATTACTTTTTGAATGTCATTAAAAATATTATGTAAAGAACAAAGTACGTTTATATAATTGTATGAATTTTGTATAAAATTGATGTTGGATGTATGAAAAAAAATCACCCTTTTGAATCTCGCTCAAGATTTTATGTAGGAAATCTATATTTATCTTGTAAGATATATATATATATATATATATATATATATATATATATATATATATA